GGCCGAAATGAGCTTTCTCCGCAGGGCGGCCGGGCGCACCCTTAGAGATAGGGTGAGGAGCTCGGTCACCCGGGAGGAGCTCAGAGTAGAACCGCTGCTCCTCCACATCGAGAGGAGCCAGCTGAGGTGGCTCGGGCATCTGCCTCCTGAGCGCCTTCGTAGGGAGGTGTTCCAGGCATGTCCCACCGGGAGGAGGCCCCGAGGAAGACCCAGGACACGCTGGAGGGACTATGTCTCTCGGCAGGCCTGGGAACGCTGGAGGAAGTGTCTAGAGAGAGGGAAGTCTGGGCATCTTTGCTTAGACTGCTGCCCCCGCGACCCGGTCCCGGATAAGCGGAAGAAAATGGATGGATGGATGGATGGATACTATGATAGTGATACCTACCAAGGACATGCTTTGCTGTATACTATAATTACTATTTCATTCTCCACATAGATGTTGGTGAATCCTTAACCCCTGCATACCTTAAATAATTCGTAGAGGTCCTCTTCCAGGTCTTTGATGAAATTTGGGTCCGAGAGTTTGGGTAGGACGAGCTCTGTGATTTCCTGAGAGAAAGGAACTTTGGCTTGGGAAAGCCACGCCCAGTAGAACGGGTCTGGTGATTGGACAAGGAAACATTGTCTTGTAGATTACATTATCTACTTGTGAAGACATGGGACATTTATTAACACGGTGATCAAACAGCCAATGAATCTTGGTTAACATAGTCAAAACAAAACAGTATTTTTGCAGAAGCAAGTCTTTAGAAAGAGTACAAGTACAACAAAAATGTTATGAAAAAAGTAATAAAATAAGCATAGATTTGCAGGAATTTAAACAGAGAAAATGCAGTCACAAGAAAAAGTAATGGCACTGCCTGGAATTTCCTGGTTTTCTCCAAAAAGTGGTCATGAAATGTGATCTGACTTTCCCCAGAGTCACAAATATCAACAAACAGTTATGATCTTTCATGTCTTTTTTGAACACACCCAACAAACATACAAAGTGATGGTGGAAAAAGTAAAGAAATATGAGGCTTCTGATGTCAACAAATGTCAACTAGAGCCAGGTGTTAGCAAACCTGGAGTCCAGTCAATGAAACGAGAATGGAGGTGTGGTTTAGAACTACCTTGACTTATAAAAACACTCAGTGTGCTATTCACAAGCAGCATCAGCTGATGTCAATCCATGCCTCACAAAAATGAGATCTCAGAGGACCTACAATCAAGAGTTGCTGATTTGCATGTAGCTAGAAAGTGTTGCAGTTGTCTCAAAGACATTATATATTCAGTCCACAGTTAGATATGTTGTCTATAAATGCAGATGATCTGGTACTGTGGATACTCTCCATAGAAGTGGGCACCCAGCTAAGATCACTCCAAAGGCACAACGCAGAATTCTCAGTGAGGTAGAAGAACCCTAGAGTAACAGCCTAAGACTTGAAGGATTCATTGGAGTTGGATAACATCTCAGTTCATGAGTCAACCATACACAAAATATCGAACAGGCATGGTATCCATGGCATGGTATCATAGAGGAAGCCATTGCTCTCCAAAAACAACACTGCAGGAGGCCTGAAGTTTGCCAAAGACCACCCTGACACTCCACAACAGTACTGGGAAAATGTCCTGTGGACAGATAAAATGAAGGTAGAACTGTTTGGGAAGAACACACAGCACTACGTATAGCATAGAAAGAGAACCGCATACCAGCATGAAAACATCATCCCAACAGTAAAGTACAGTGGAGGGAGCATCATGATTTGGGGCCACTTTGCTGCCTCTGGACCTGGACCGCTTGCCACTGTGGAGGTGAAAGTGAATTCCCAAGTTTATCAAGGTATCCTACTGGATAATGTCAGGATGGTTGTCCACTGGCTGAAGCTCAGAACAAGCTACTATATTTGGTGAAGATCACATCACATTTCATGACCAATTTATGCAGAAAACTGCAAACAGTGCCATTACTTTTTCTGTATATTAGAGATGTAAGATAAAACACGACGTGTGTAGCAGAGATGCTATAGCAGCTTGTACTGGATGCAGTGATTGGTTAAAACTATGGCAACTTGGGTACTTACAGGCTCTCCAGGAGTCAGGGTGTTTGAGGGGGAAGGCCAGGCCATTGTCTATGGCTGCCAGCTTGATGACGGGATCATTTACTACCATCCAGTCTGTGTCCTGGAGAAGAGAGGGTGTGGGGGTCCCAGCAGGAGTTCAATTTTACCTAGCATTGCCACTTTAAAAATGCATGTCATGATTTTGAACGAGTACGTGTCTGTGTGTCCTCACCTTGTCCATGGAACAGTCGTACTTCAGCAGCCAGTTATCATTTCCCCTGTCTGCAATACCAAATAATGGACTCATATTTAGTCCAGAGTAGCAAAGCCTTCCATATACATACCGATTTATTTATTTGTTTTTATTCAGCATTAAAGTATCAAATATAATTAGGATTTTTACTACTGATAATCATGCAAGTAGCATATTACAGTTGTAGCTAGGGGAGGTGGAGATAACTAACACTTTAGGAAATAAGTGATCCAATTAGCTGGACAGGTACTGACCCTATTACACAGACCTTGTATAGACCGATGTGACCAGTCCTCATCAAATACTGTTTCGTTGTCCAGTTTTTGCTGTAAGTTACAGCCATCCAGTCACATCCAAGCATCAATACAATTTTAGTACTTTTAATATTGTACTATTTATCTCAAGGAGATGGATCGATGTAGGTGGGTCGTTTAAAAACCATGCATTATATTTTAAAAGGAGGTCATGTGTTTGGTATGTACAGTAAACTCTTGATCTGAAAGAGTAGCTATAACCGATAAATGTAGTGGAGTAAAAAGTTTAATGTTTCACTCTGAAATGCAGTACAGTACACTGCAAGTATGAAGTAGCAGAAAGAGGAAATACTATAGTACTTAAGTACAGCACTTAGTTACTAATAACAATATATACAGTTAGTAATACAACAATATACGTCATATATTCTACTAAACAAGCTCTCTTTGTTTTACTTTGATGAGAAATGAGGACCACATGCCTGTGTTCCTGATGATGTAATCAAGGACTACAAGCCGTTCAAACTGGAGCTGGAGCTGGCGGTTGGTGTTTTCAGGCAAAGGCTCTGCTTCGAACTTCCGCAACCAGAAATCTGCATCATTGAACCCATCAACAAAGAGCTGGAAGGAACCAACCTGATGGAAGTGAAACAGACAGAGGATGTTACTATTGCAATATCACTGACAACATTTACAAAAACTGACACGGGCTTTTTGTTGCTCAACTAGCAAATATCGCATTTAATGTCATTTAACTGGCATCAAGCTTATGTACCTTCTCAGAGGTTATTGAAAGGCTTTCAGAGATATAAAATAGACAAGACATGTAGTAACTCTTCCTACTGAACATCATTATACTTTGCTTTTCCTTTACCAGCCACTGGATGGATTGTGTGCATTTGTAAAATAATACGCACAAGTAAATCACTGAATGAAATCAGTTCTGTGATAAGAATTGATCAGATTACCTTGGGTGGCAGTCCAATCCTGTGGAAGCGCTGGCCCACTTTAGGCACCTTCTCTAGGGCTAGCTTTTTTCCTCGAGACTTGACCCTGTCTATGGCACTGTAGTTGAATGTTTCACTAGCCAAGTAAACCACCTGAAAAAGAAAAGACTGATTAGGAGAGGGAGGCTGTTCTCTTGTAATGCTGAGGCAGTATTTTGTGTCTATACCTTGGTCCTGGGGACAATGTTTAGCTCCAGTTTCTGATCGACCAGGCTGGCCCCGGCCTCTGAGAGGTAACCCTGGTTCAGCACCAAACAGTCGCGGCCAAAGCAGCAGGGACAGCACAGTTTCTGGAGCCACTTGGTCCACTTGGGGTTCAGCTGGCCATAGGGCTCTTCATTTTTAGGTTTGAACACGCCGATGATTTTCTATAGGTAAAGTGAGAATGAAACAAAGACAGAATTCAAAAGGAGTTAGGGATGTTTCGAAATGGAAACGAAAGTAAGGTTGTATGTTGTTTAAATATTTAAATTCAAGGACAATATTTGACTTTGGAAATGTAAAAATACAGCTGAAACATACAGAGCAAATGGTGAGACAGTGGAAATGAGGGTTATGCTGCAGGAGTATTCTGAAATGACACTTTTTGTACAGTGAAAACTTGTCACTATTAGCATCCACTGCAACTGACATGAACTGCAGTTGCCCACAACATAGTGCTCTGTCAAAAGTGAAACCACATTTTTTTAAAGCACAGAATAAAACTAGATCATTAAAGAGAGGCAAGCACATGACTACTAAACACACTGGTGACTAACTAAAGAAAATGGTGAGGTGGGGGCAATGGGAATGGGTCACTGAGCCTAGTAAGTGAGCCTTTAATAAATGGAGAGGCTGGAATACAGCACATGTAATTTGCAAGGATCCAGCCACAAAGTCCAAACACACACTTTTTAAGAGGAAGTGAAAACAACTCAACACACACAGCAGATAATGGGAGGACAGTGTCTGCGAGTTGCTCAAGATTTGTACTGGTCAGCTCCAGCAGTGCTGATCCGACTTTAATGTCATTAATCTGGCATGATTACAAAAAGCCCAGAGATGTGGGAGAAGGTGACAAATGGGAGGAAATGCTCTGTAATGATCCATGTGTTGACTCAGCAATTGGTCTGGACTGTGAAGCAATTAGACAATGTTGTAAAAGACTTTGAACCATGATTACGAGAGCTGCAACAAATCATACAGGTATGCTCAGGAGCCTCTGATTAGTTACTTCAGATTTTTTTTTTCCTTCAGAAATGGGATGCAGAGAAAGCACAGGAAGAATCAGGAAAACTACCTGAATGAACTGGTGACTGTTATTTGTGCTGACATCATTGTGTCAACTGGTCAGAGATGGTAGTTCACTAACAGACCTGCTTCAACAAGATCTGAAAGGATGAACACCTATGGCCACATCCACAATCACATGGATTGTAAAAGCATTTTACAAAAATACTAATATGTTTATGTATATGTTGATTACGTTTTCAAGACAGCAATGCAATGTATTTATCTGCTCAAATTATGCAGTTGGTTCAGCATAAGCCAGCAACTCTTTACAAGTCATATATATCTCTCATTAGAAGTGATCTGTCATGCAATAAATATAGAAGGAGCTGTATGGCCATTTGGGGCTCTCTGGAAGAGGGTCTCTCTTTATCACCAGGAAAACCTTGCTACAGGATGACTTTGACAACAAAGATCATTTATAAGAAGACATTTACCCAACCAACAACTGGTTTACTCTTCTTTTCCCTTAAGCGAGTGTTTTTAAACCTATATTTACTGTACTACAGTGCTTAATTTGTAAATTAAAAGGTCCCCAATATCACTTGGTGATGGATCGGGTATGCCAATATGAGGAGAGAAGGTCAAGGAATTTTCTCAATGACTGGTGCATTTTCGTAGTTTCCACATTACGATAGCTGCTTAGAGGCAAAACATTTGTTGTGTTTGTTACGCTCAACAAATCACACAGAAAGACAAGCATTTGCAAGTGCAAGTTGTAAATGTCAAGTGCAATTGATGCTAAATATATTAGGACTGCGAGGCTACAGCCTGAACCCATTCAGTCAATAGTAAGCGTCACATCATATTTGGGGCCTTTTTACTCCACTACACATTAACATTATATTCAGAGTATTACAGCCACAAATCTAAAGCACACCAGAAACTATATAATGCATTAAATAAACATGTCCTTATCTTCTGATATTTAAAACAGCCCATAACAGTCATGGGGCAGGAGTCCTCTGTCATGTTATTCTGTGCTTTGCTTCAGTCCTTTTGAAATCCATGACCTCATCAACCTGACTTGTACTAGTTACTAGCCTTTCCATTAACAGCTGTAGGCTTTAAAACTGGGCCCAGCTTTACCTGTTTATGTTCTAAGTTCTGACTAGCTTCGCCCTGCTGTGACTTGAAATACTTCAGCAAATTTCTTTTTAGCATCTTCGCTCTGTGACTAACAAAATACTGAATGTGCAACTGACCCGGTGTGACCTGCGCGGGCTGGTTACGTAGTTAGCCTAACTGCCAGTTTTTATTGTATTTTATTATTCTAATTTTAGTCAAATTTGCTGTTGTAAAAGTCGATTTGCAAAAGTAGTATTAGACCCTGGATTTTCCATGTATTTATCGAATATTCAATTTCTTTCACATGTAAATGAGGTGCAGGGTTCGTCAAAATGTGTGTCTATAGATTAGAAGCGGAAATCAGCATGCCAGATTGATGGGTTACTGGCATTTACTGTGGTAATATACAATATGCAGCAGGTACAATTAACATAGTCAGACTTAATGCGACCCAATGTATAACTACTAAAGTTAGACTACATTTAAACATGCCAAAACAGTGGAAATGCGAACATAGCGATGCTTCTCTCACTGATTACTCAGGCTGGCTATGATGGCTAGGCTACCATGTTAGCTAAAGTGTTCTGTAGTATTTGCCCTGGTTACACATTTGAGATGTTTGAAATTTGTTTTCAGTAAGTCGGTGATGATAGTATGATCTAACAACTGAACTAGCAAGAATAATAACTTGACAATCAGTTTTTTATGGCACATTTGCGATGGCCAGGTACATCGATAACTCTTATCATTGATTATACAGGCGTGCTATGATGGCTAAACTAGACTCCCATGTTAGCTACGGCGTTTTCTAGTGTTTGCTTTGCACAGTAGAGATATTTAAAATTTTCGGTGAGCCAGTTAGTGTCACAAATGCATAACAAAAATGGTCGACCAAGAATAGTAACTTTATGTTCACCTAATTATGACACATTTACTACGACACGTTATATAGTTAATAACAGTGAGGGGGGAAAGAAATTCTATACGATTTACGGTAGCAATTGTACAACCACGCCGTTATCACCAAATATGCATATTAATAGCAGGGCGGAGAGGTATCTGCTGAAGCATGTCTGCAGGTGGAGAGGGAGTGGCATACCACTTCGGAATCGGCAGGAGCCCGTTACAGAATCGAAAGCTCCCGTAAAGGGAAAGTGGCATGCCAAATCACTTTGCAATCTCGGCTCTACAGTGCTGTACTAATACTTGGAGTAGCTACTCAAACTCTCGCGGTTGTTGTTATGCTGTGTGGATGCTTCTGTAAACTGGTCTGAGGACATTAAAGCTGCATTCCATTCTAGTCTTAAAAAGTACTTGTTTATTGGTTTAAAGTGGAAAATGTTAGTGCATCTTGTGTTTTATGCCTTATTTGCCAAGTCATCACCGGCTAGTTAGAAGAGGCCTATCTTAAAAGCCACTACAAGTCCTCTGCCAACTCACTCATGCATTCTATCAATCGTGGCATCACACACAACACTTCAGATTTCACAGATCAGACATACGACAACAAAACGGGCCGTTAACAGCAGTCGGTGAACAGCAGTTGCCAGTTAGCGGCCGCTCTTCTTACCCCCCGAGAATCTTTGACAAAATAGCTTCCACTGGAGCCCTGGTAGATCCTCTCCGGGTAGATCCCCTCTTCTATGGCTCGCTCAACCTTTCGGATGATCTCTCTGAACTCGGGATCCTCCGGGAATTCGTTCCTGTGCTGGTCCCGTTGAGGGTTCCCACGGTCCCGGTCCAGCAGCGGCTCCGGCTGCGTCCCGGACTGCCAGCCGGGATGCGCACCACAGAACCCGGTGTCCCTCCGAAACCGCCCCGCGGACTAGTGGGCTCTACGGGACAGTAACTGAAATCACCGGAGTCCCGAAGCGGAGAGAAGAGCGGGCTCGTCTCGTCCATGACTTTGTAAATGAAAGATGATTACGTTTAACTCCCGAAAAAAAGAGGACAACACAGAAGAACTAAAAAAAAAGTATCACGGTTGTTTTGTTGGCTAGTACTGACGCTGGCTAACAAGGAAACTGACGGGGGAAAAAAAATCATATGACTGTCAGCTTCCGGTAAGGGGTGGGATTGGTTGAGTGTTTAGATTTTTAACCAATCAACGTTCAAATGCTCCTGTCGACAACCTAATCTCAAATGCTGATTGGACATAACTATTCAGCCCATGGAAAACACGTGACAATACAGTTAATTAACCAATTAACTTAATATGTAAAAGGGTTGATAAAAATGTTCAGTATTTCTTATGTGATTCAGGAATAAGCGTTTAACTTGAAGTTGTCAGACTAATAACTTTTGGCAAATCATTTTGGCTTGATAAGCAATAAAGAGCTAAATTTAGCTCCAGCATATGTTTACAAAATGCAGTCAAATAAAAAAGAATAATAAAAAAGAATAACTGTATGAATATGGAAACTAACGCTGCAGTCTACTGTTTTCTAATAACAGTGGCCTTATTTGTTAATTAAGAGCCCAGATACATGGAGATAATGTATATGGACTGTGTAAAGTGTGTTTTTGTCATTTAAAAAAATTAATTAGGCTTCTTGCTCTGTGTTCCTGAACTGTTTAATTGGTGTTACTTAAACCAAAACAAACTGCAGTGCCAGTCTGCCACTAAATGATTTTGAGAATTGCACATTATATTAGAGTGGGGATTTAAATGGCATTCTCTTTGAGTTGAATTTGTCAAAAAAAATCTCTCACTTGTCCTCATGATCAAAGTTTTCACTCCTTTTACATAGGTTTTTCACTATATGATAGACACATTTGTGTTCTTTTTGATGGTATAACTATGGAAGCAAACAGTTTCACAAAAGATGTGTTGTGAGCCTCAGACTGACACAAGTGCCAACCAACTGCTGCACCGATTTCCTGTGTACACAGTATTACATGGTCATAATGTTTAGGCTGATTGGTGAATACATACAATAATCTATTTTGTTCAGTAACAGTAATCATCAGCACAAGTGAAGTTAAGCTGCTGGTTCATCTGCACAGCAGTGGTGATTAATTTCTTCCCTGACAATCAGTGGAAATATGGGCAGCACACATAGGTTAAAAGGCTAAAAGATGGCAACATGAATGTCTCCAAACTTAATCAAACTCAAGCAACATTTCAACAGGGCAGATTCTGGTTTGAATGTGGGACTTTTGAAAATTGCTTTCTAACCTCAAGAATTACCACACTTCAGGATAATCTGTCTATTGTGAAAATCCAGTGAGTAATACAGGTAATCTGTAATAGCTGGGGAACTCCAAGTCATGTCTCAAGTCCACAAGGGCCTCTTAAGTTCTCATAACCAAAATGTAAATTCGGGTGTTCAGGTCCTCTCACCATCACTGTAAAACGACTGCGTGTTTAAATATGTACCATTCAAAACTGTTTTAGTAATCTTTTGATGGAGCCTACTGAGGCCTAACAACTGAATGATCACTTATCATCATTTATAACATCCCTCCAATATCATGACTGAATTCTGATGTTAGTCCAAGACTCAGGTCTCATTCATTAGGCGATAGCCTACTGTATGTGCAGAAAGTAGGCTAAATTAATACAAATGCGATCTTTGTAGGAAAAGCGCGTGACTGGTTCGTATTTGAAGATTTTTTTTTACCACTTACTCTGGTTAACATTGATTCATTTTTTCTATGTCAGAAGGGATTTGTCGAGTTTTTCCATATGATGCACTAGGCTGCAGCACGCACTGCTGTGGACGTGCCGCTGTGCGCATCCTCCTGCCTCCCTCCTCTTGCGGCGCGCACAGCTCGCCTTCTGATTGGTGGAAACCAGCAGGAAGCGAGCTCGGGTTGTGAGATTTGTCGAGTTAAGGCAGACCAGACTCTACAAACGGGTTGCTGCGATAGATGCGCCATCACTTCAGATCATAAAGTACTACTTGTTTCTTTGTGGCCATCTGCTTGACTGTGGCAAAGTCAGGACAAATCCGCGTACGTTTCAGCCGCATTTTAGGAAGAGTCACTTACCCTTACGTTTCCGGAAATACAGCGTAGAGGGCATCGGTGTGAGGATGGCTGCGTACAAGCTTGTCCTGATCCGCCATGGAGAGAGCTGTTGGAACCAGGAGAACCGCTTCTGTGGCTGGTTCGACGCGGATCTGAGTGAGACAGGGGAGCAGGAGGCAAAGAAGGGAGGACAGGCCCTAAAAGGTACGGTACTAGATCATGTCTCTGAGCCCAGTCAGGCTTTCTCTCAGTCAATGGGTTAAAACGCTGCAAGCCGGTGTTTGTGCAACTCGACCGGATGGGGAAACAGGTAGTCTCCCCACACTGCGACACAAGGCGAGGCAGCAGAAAGAGAGCAGGGGTGGAAGTGAATAAATCATCCTTATTTTCAAGTTTTTCTTACCTCTGTCAATTTCCAGTAAAGTCACTAATTACTGTGCAGCAGTAATCTACAATGCTTATCATTTTTCTTTAGCAAGTGTATACAGCTGATTGAAAATACGAAATATGGCAAAACACAAGCAAGATATGAATGATCAGTAACTAAGCTTTATATGTTTTATGCTTTAATTATGTGTTTATTTTGTTGTGTGCTGCACACACCCTTCTTTTGTTTTTCTATGACTCAAAAAATCCTCTGCAGGCACATCCTGTAGAGCCAGTTCACAGTATGTATTATACATGTTAGCAAAATCTTTTTCAAACAAACGTTCCCATTTATCATTTTGTCTCTCTATGATTCACCTCAGATGCTGGCTATGAATTTGACGTTTGCTACACCTCTGTCCTGAAGAGGGCTATCCGCACCCTGTGGTTTGTTCTGGATAGCATCGACCAGATGTGGCTGCCTGTCATCCGGACCTGGCGCCTCAATGAGCGCCACTACGGTGGCCTGACTGGGCTGAACAAGGCTGAAACAGCAGCCAAACATGGAGAGGCCCAGGTCAAGGTCTGGAGACGCTCTTTTGACATTCCTCCCCCACCCATGGATGAGGGGCATGACTTCTATCAGGCCATAAGCAAGGTGACAGCTTAGGAACACAGTCAAACAGTCTGTTTCTCTTTTACAAATGCAGCTTTCTTTGTCATGTCAACGTAAGCGCACTTGTGACAACAGTATGTCGGCCTGTCTGTCTTCTGCCATAGGACCGGCGTTATGCTGACCTGACGGAGGACCAGCTTCCATCCTGTGAGAGTCTCAAGGACACCATTGCCAGGGCACTGCCTTTCTGGAATGAGGAGATTGTTCCACAGATCAAAGAGGGAAAGCGGGTGCTGATTGCTGCCCACGGCAACAGTCTTCGGGGTATCGTTAAGCATCTCGAGGGTAAGATGCAAAGCTGAGGCATATGAGGCACTGCCCAATGCCACAAGTGTTTATTTCCCCTAAAGTTCTTACAGTTTGCATTTATTAATAATGTCAATCAACACTTAATCATGGAATTTAATTAAACAATGGCAGAGGATTATTTTGCAAAATCACTTTTTGAATTGATTACAGATATTGAATTTATTAAGTGACTTTTTACAAAGTTTGACTGGGAAAAGCTGAAGAATTTTAAATTCATTGACACACAATGGATTATAAGATCTGCATTCCTGTCCCAGGTATGTCAGAGGAGGCCATCATGGAGCTGAACCTGCCCACTGGCATCCCCATTGTCTATGAGCTGGACAAGAACCTGAAGCCTTTAGGACCCATGCAGTTCCTGGGAGACGAGGAGACCGTCAGGAAGGCCATGGAAGCTGTGGCTGCTCAGGGCAAAGTCAAGAAATAGACTCATCCTCCCTCTGGGAGCTAGATTAGAGATCAGTCATGTGCTGTTCAGTTATCAAATTAAATTAAAGTCATTTCCACTTGGTGTCATCAAACACTTGCACGTACACGCACAAGCACACAGTGTGCACTTTATTTAAATAATTCCCAGCTTCACACAAATGTACAATCTGGTCTTTGATTTGGTTTGTGTCATATTGAAACATACATTTCATTATTAGACAACAGATAGCTGTAATATGGTTTAACCACTGACCAAAATACAGTTAGAGAGTTAGAGACCAGCAAATACGATTAAACATAGACTAACCCTGTAGAATCATTCCAAGTATTCCTTCCTATTTACAATCTATGTAGGTGAAGCTCAGTGGGAACCTATATATAACCTATAAAGTAACACTGGTTGTTGTTAAAAGGGCAAGCTGATGCTGTGCACCGGTGGTTTTTGTTTGCTGTGGCATTGTGAGAAAAACAATAAATGTCATTATGTGATTAAATTTTTTATCAGTGTCTGGCATATTTTTAAGAATAGCTGTCTGTGCAGGGTGGGCGCACAGACAGCACTGTGACTATGAAGTCACAATACTACAAACACTGTAGGAATGCACCTGTTTCCACCATAAAAATACCCCATTCACCTTGTTGCTTTTATGTATTGAGATTGTGGAGCTACAGTAATAATAGCTTGATACAAAATGGTTGTAAATTAATATCCCATCACTGATTCTTTTGTCATATTTTTCCTCACTAATCCAAAAGAATTCCATTTAAATTTTTGGAAATTCAACAAAGCAGAAGAGGCATATATGTCAAAGTGCACATCATATTTTCCTTTAATGAGGTGGCCTCAACATTTGCAAAATGCTGCTTCTATTATAAGTAACCTAATCAGAAGTACTCTTTTGCTCTTTCACCTATATTTTCCCTAAATTAAATACTGTAGTGTTACTCCTACTGATACACATTTAAAAGGAAGATAAAGACATTAAAAACCTTCATACTTGGAGAATAAATTTAAAAAGTGTTTCATTAGACTAGAAGTCTCTGTCCCTTATTCTAAATGATTGCTCTATCATTGAGATGTTGCATCATCGAGTTGAACAGAATCTCAAAAATTTGTTTGCCATCATCTTGATGCTCAGATAAGGATAAAATAAGAAAATAAGAGAAATTACCTGCCACAGCATACTGACAAAAAACTGACTAGAAAAAAAGAATGACAGGCAATTAGCTGGGAATTTTCAATTAATGTACAAATTTGTCCAAAACCTGTTCAAAGTAACATCTTTTAATGTATTTAATATTGATAATTTTCAAATATAAGAAAGTAATTAATTTCATGAATTATTTATTGTCATTGTTGTAATAAGTAAATGTACATAGAGTATTCCCTGCCTATTACACTGAATGTTTGCGCAATAGTATGGGGCAGCATGTCACAGCATGTGTCCATCATGGTCAGATGTGCCTCAACAAACATGGTGGAGTGAGCCGTCCTTCTTCTCGTCTCGAAGTTTTAGCGGCCAATCAGAATCGAGTCGAAGTGTACGTCACAGCCAATCGGAAGCCGATTTGCTCCTCTCGAAAACATGTCGCCCATGAAGATGTGTGTTCCAGGTGAGTCCTGTAAATTTGTCATTAGTGCTAGTGAATAAATGGTTACACCAAACTAAACCGCTTTGTCATCTTCTTCTAGACATAGCAGCAATGTTGCTGGAAAAAATACATTTCAGCTTCAGCCTGATGGTGTAAAATCCTGTTTTCCCGTTAATTATTTCCAGCTTCCGTTCGTACGGTGGGCTTTGGTTTTAGCTTCTAGTGTTAGTAAATGTTTCTTCCAGGGATTATTCAGTTTATGGCTGGTTGTTTCAGATGGATATGAGACGGATTTGGCATGTTCAAGGCTATTATGTTGTACTGTTCACGGTCAAAGGAGGGTAAGTACCGCTCCTGTGTAGGACTGTGAGTTGCTAACTTTAACTCCCAGCTGTAGATTTTATCAGTAACCATCCCCGCTGCATTCCTTGTCCCACTTGTGTTTATAAACTTATGCGTTCCTCGGGTTATTTTGAGGGTTGGCAGATGGAAATGTTAGGAAAGTGGTTTACATTGTGGTTTGACAGTTCTCTCAGTGTTAAAATTGCCTGAAAACACAACCGTAATTTGAAGGATCATACAGAATCAGCCTTAAATGTCATGTTACTCTCGGGGTCAAACAGCTCAAGGTGACCAGATGAGGGATTCTAGAGCAGTAATTGTCCACCTTAGGTGAAGGGTGATTTTGGACAAAGGTAATGTATCACTGACTCCTACCCTCAGTGCAGACAGGAGAGGGTTTGGGTCTGGACAGGTTATCTAATCTTTTCTTCCTAATATTTGTTCTGCAGAGAATCCACAGTAAATTTGTCAGCTGTCTAAAGTACTTCACAATTTTTATTAATATAGTGGAGGAACTGTGCGTCTTGTTTTTTTTTTTAATTGCAAAGGGTAATGTTTTATCTCACAAAACAGTATTTATACTCTGATGTTAACACTGACATGTAGCCTGTACAACTTTGTTCCAACACTGATTCTGTTTTTCTCCCGCTGCTTGTCTCCAGGTGACAAACTATGCAGTGTAGAAGACTGTAATCCTGGCACAGGAGTGTATCTGCGGCATGGCTACATATACTCCTCACTAGCAGGCTATGTGCTCAGGAAAAATGAGGGAGAGGAGGTGAGGGTTGTGGTTGGTGTGGAGAGAAATGAGGAAAGCTGCAGAAGCAGTCAGGCCTGTAGAGGTGTCTAATTAAAAGTGTTGAGGCTTAATAGGTTTGTGGTGCACCTGTGATGAAATCTGCACATATTTTGTACAGGTCATTTCTTCAGGCTGTTTTAAACTGGTATTAATGTGTCTAACCTTTTGTCATTTTCTAGTTACCAGTGATTTCAGTAGTGCGGGAAACAGAAGCACAACTTCTGCCAGATGTAGGAGCTATAGTCACCTGTAAGGTATGCACTGGAATAAGATGATACTCCCGATACCTGGGTGGTCTGTTTGATTCAGTTTAGTTTTGGGTATTTTTCTTAAAGAGGTGATTTGTCTTGACAGGTGACCAGCATCAACCCCAGGTTCGCCAAGGTTCACATTCTCTATGTAGGCTCCACACCCCTCAAAGACCGCTTCAGGGGGACTATCAGGTAACCCCCAAAACTAACTGCAGAGCTGAGTAATGTTTTATGGCCACATTTCTGTGTAATTCCCCAAACTGAGCTCACTCTCTCTACCTCTACAGAAAAGAAGATGTGCGTGCAACAGAGAAGGACAAGGTGTGTTTGAATCATTCACAAAGTTCCTCTGCAGCTCCTGTTTACGTATTAATCTAGGGTGACATGCTTGGTGTAAACTTTATGCTTTCTTTATCTTTAAAGGTGGAGACGTACAAAAGCTTCAGACCTGGCGACATTGTCCTGGCAAAAGTGGTATCCTTCACCTGCCCTAGAGTTAAACACAAATAGTTTTTTCAAGAGTTAAAAATTAAAAGCATTTACCAGCTATGAAAACAGCCCATGCATCAGCCCCCATATCATTTATTTCTCTGAAATTCTCAAGCTCAGTGTGAGTGACACAGGTACCATAAACACAACTGCCTCGAAAGAAGCCATGTTATGTTGTCATTTTTATGTGTAGTTGTTTAGCACACATTCTAACTTGTTACTGTTGAAACAATTACAGCTACCCATAGATATTTACAATAAGTAAATTCAAAGAACAGTACCACCTGTAAAATTTCTGATTTATTGTGACTATACGTTTATGTTCGTAAGCTTTGACCTGTGATGTCAGATTTCTCTGGGTGACGTTCAGTCTAACTACCTGCTGACGACGGCGGAGAATGAGCTGGGGGTGGTGGTGGCACACAGTGAAGCAGGTAAATCTTATTGTTCAGTCTCTGACTCAAGGCACCTGAGATTTCTAGGACAGTGCTGCACAGATTAGTGGCATCGTGTCTGAACATGAGGTGATGCCTGAGTAACTGTCCAGGTAACTAAAGAACAACAGAGTTCCCACTGATTGGCCTGAAAACTGTTATTCTCTTGGACACAACCATTTGCCTAGTGAGCTAGATTTAGCAAGTATTTCCTTTAGTGTTATTACAGCTTATCGCACTAGTGCCAATCTCTTGATCGCTGATCTAGTAAGCTCTATTCCGAGTATTGTTTGTGTTTAGTAAATAGCAATAAGACAGTGACAACACTTAAACCCAGTTATTTTACTATTGGGTGGATGTGGTGAAACTAAAAATGTTTTATTAAAGTATATTACTTCCATAAATCTACTGAATCAAAACACAAATGCTGTTAATTCAAACATGTTGATTTTTAGTTTGACACCCCTGTCACATTTCTTTGTGAACCAGGTGCCCAGATGGTTCCCATCAGCTGGTGTGAGATGCAGTGCCCACGGACACAATCCAAAGAGTTTCGCAAAGTGGCCCGAGTGCAGCCGGAGTATCTGCAGGCGTGAGAGCCCTGAAACCTCTCTCTTCTACAAGAAACACACAACTTCCTCACCCTGCTTCATTCACTGTCATCACATAGCCTCCTACCTCTGCATCAGATGTTTTCAGAGGTGCTGGACAACATGCTGTTTGTTCGCTACTTCTGGTTTCACATAGCTTTCCTTCTGCATATTTTGTCATCATTTGATTGTGCCAGCTTGAAAACACCGAAGCAGCACCAGGACATTCTGAACAATGTAGTGACTTCTTAGCAGATTTCAGTGCCAACAATGCGGTTTTGTTAAGCTTGTCTTAAAATGCCTGATGGCAGTCTGGATTGAACTGTACATGACAGAAATGACTTGGCTCTCTCATGAGAGTACATCACTGCTGTCAAACTTTCAAAGTGATCACTACAGTCTTATGCAAAAGTTTAGGCACCCCTTGATAAATAACAGATTTTGGTGATTTTTTTATTTGAACAGATGTTAACACAGTTTCTCTTGGAAATGGAATGTGGTAGTGGAAACGGACAGGACCCAATAAAGATGCCTGGAGACCCGGAGTAGCTTCGAAGACGTCTTTTATTTCATGCAGCATGGAGGGAAGTCGTACACAACTTAGCAGTCGCGCAGAGTTCTCTATCTGACTGGTAAAGGGCAGTCCCTTTTATACCAAAAGTGATACAATTACACATCTATAAAACTCATACCATTGTCTCATATCTAACAACCCACATATCGTCCCCAGCTGTCTTTGGTGCCTACACCTCTCCGCGACCAGACAGCCCATTCACATTTAAACAAAGACAAGTCGGCTTGTTTTGCATTCACACACAGACCCACTTAACATATTGCAAGTTCTGCTTTGTCTTGGGATGTCCTGCAGAGACCGAGGGCTCGTCATCCTGAGATGACCACTTGGCCAGTTTAACATACAAATTAACATCACACATACACACAGACACCTGGTGTAGATCACATTCCAGCAGGGAGGTGTGATCAGACATCCACATAGGGCTTCAGAGAAATGGAACCCAGAGCTCTGTAAATTGCTCTATTCAATGGTCCATTCAGTTATGATAATAAATGTTTGAAAGGTGCTATTTGAGTCCGATTAGTCTTCATAAAAGAACGCGCAGGACAGTTAAAGTCTGACATTACACAATGCATAAATAAACTATACATTTAAACTTTAAAATTGTTGATTTTGTACTTTGAACTCGCTTGTTGAATAATGTGATTAAAGACACAAACATGTTCCATGCTAGCACTTTCTCCAAGTGACACAACATTGATTTACTTTGTTTTTGTGTTCTGGAGTGTGTAGCATGAAAATGCAAATGTGAGCTGCAGTTTTGAGAGTTGCAGCCATTGGTCTTTTTAACTCCAACAAAACTGAAGCACAGAGCTATTCATTGCTCCATTTCACTACCTTAAGGAAAGTAAACAAAATGGAGGAAAAAATGATTGTGTGGTGGACAATGGATGTTGGATATAATTCACACACACTGGTATTTCTGCTCTGTTACAGATTCATAGGGTAACATGTACAGGACTGTAGTTCATGTTATGACCACTTACACACCTCCTCTGCCAGAGGAGGTGTTACTAAGTACTGATTGTGTAGGGTGCCCAAACTTTTGCACCATGCCATAATAATGTTTTTATTTTTTATTTTTGTTCAATTTATGGCATAAGAAGTAACTATGCATCACTGTTTGCAGAAAATATTGTGCATTTTTTCCATTTCCAAGAGAAACTGTGTTAACATCTGTTCAAATAAAAAATCACCAAAATCTGTTATTTATCAAGGGGTGCCTAAACTTTTGCATAAGACTGTATGTTGAGAAACTGCAAGCATCAGAATTTTGCTCCTACTATATAAGGCCTTGTTCTCAGATGAAGGATTCACTCATATTTGCTAATAAAGACTAGATTAAGACCAGGCTCAGACTGCATCTCATAGAAAGGCAAACATGAACTCTGCATTTTATAACCAGACAGATCATTGCAAAGGGCAATGGCTGCATTTGATCCGTTTTCTCGACCCCAGAATTACAGCTACCATGCACAGAATAATGAAGAATAGAGTCTACAAGAAACAGGAAGACGTTTGCATTTTACCAAATTTTAATTAGCATGTTGACTTTGTCTTCTTTCTTCACTTTGCAGATGTGCAAGATATAAATAAACCAGCAACCCAGTTTCCTGATTTATATGGTCATTTTGTATTTACTAAGGAAATCTGTTGTTCATTTTCCTCAGTAGTGTGCACACAACTGCTTACATCTGTTCAACTGGCAGGAAAAAAAAGACAAACACAAAAACACTGCAAGCACTCATCCTCCACACACAACATGCTTACTTATCACTGATGTCATGAGAAACATTGGACAACTGAATGTACAGTGGATGGATGGGGCCATGTATCGTGAGATTTTGGGCAACAACCTCCTTCCCTCAGTAAGAGCATTGAAGATGGGTCGTGGCTGGGTCTTCCAGCATGACAATGACCCCAAACACACAGCTAGGATAACCAAGGAGTGGGTCTGTCAGAAGCATTTCAAGGTCCTGGAGTGGCCTAGCCAGTCTCCAGACCTGAACCCAATAGAAAATCTATGGAGGGAGCTGAAACTCAATGTTGCTCAGCGACAGCCCCAAAACCTGAAAGATCTGGAGAAGACCTGTATGGAGGAGTGGGCCAAGATCCCTGCTGCAGTGTGTGCAAACCTGGTCAAGAACTACAGGAAACGTCTGACCTCTGTAATTGTAAACTTAGGTTTTGGTACCAAATATTAAGTTCTATTTTTCTATTGTATCAAATACTTATTTCATGCAATAAAATGGAAATAAATTATTTAAAAATCTAACTGTGATTTTCTGGAACTTTTTTTGTAGATTCTGTCTCTCTCAGTTTAGGTGTACCTACACTGAAAATTACAGATCTGTCCATTCTTTGTAAGTGGGAAAACTTTAAAAATTGGCAGTGTATCAAATACTTATCTGCCCCACTGTATAATCAAGGACAATATGGGGAAAATGTCATGTAATGTCACCTATTATGTCTGCAGTCACTTTTTGGCCTTAAACTATCAATGATTCTTAGTCTTGCAGTATCTTTAACAAAGAAAAATTATAACTGTACACCAATACTATGCAAACCTGACCCATATAAAAACACAAACTCTTATGAAAGTCAGTCTCTTAAAAAACAGTCCAGTTCCTCAAGCAGGATGTTTAATATACACTACGTACACCTGGCATTTCTTGTGTTCACTGTCTGATCCTCCCTTATATAGAAGTTTTAAGATTCTCCAGTGAACCTCAGAAGGTAATTCAGTGTGTGAACCTACAGATAAAACAACGCAACCCTTTCTACAACCGTTCACCCTTTTTTCTTCTTTCACTCATCAAAGCGAACAGATCGACGTGAATTTATATCAATAGAGAACTTCTTATTGGATGGTGCAGTAAATCCAAGTCCTGCTCCTCTGTTACTGAAGTCCATTTGGCGTGAGTGAGCACGCTCAAACTCTCCCAGAAGCCCTTGCTGCAACTGCTGCTGTGCACCCTTCCCCATTGCCATATTTGCTCCTCCAGCACTCACCGCAGCCGACTGGAAACCCTTTTTGAAGCCACCCATCAAGCGCAGGAACTTCTGCTGTTGTTCTGAGCTGTCGAACTGGGCCGTGCTCCACTGCCCCAAACCCTGAAGAACAGAGACATCTGAAATGGGTATTACAAACTACAGGAAGAGAGTAGCGAGGATAGGTGGATTTTACAAAATTGTGAAATTTACTGGTATGGTAAAATGGTATGGTAAAATCTAGGATCTAGGATCTTTGCCCATGATACAGCCTAACAGTCCGGACACCTCTCCTTCTACTGCATCAATTTTGGAAAAAAATTTTTTTATGTGTCCTCTTGTGAGTCCTCTGACTTTCATGGACGTTATCATACCAAAACACTGGAGTAGCCAATGGAAGGAAATACCAGTGGTTTATTCTTTTTCCTGGAATGATGCTGATACTGACCAAATGTTTAGCTGGTTTTTCAGGTTGAGAGGCCTTGTCAATCTCCATCTGTAAAGCCTGTCGTCTCTCCTACGACAAACCACAACAGTTACTTTATTAAGCTCCACAGATGTGGCAGGCAATTTAAAGTCATTTAGAAAAAAAAATAAAAATTGTCTACAATATACCCTTATTAAAAATCCAGACAATTCTAGAGTATCTTTCCTTAAAGATGTAGTGTTATGTTCCGACCTTTGCTTATTTGCTTTTTTAATGAAAGCTGGATGAGAAAATCGATGCCACTCACATCTGTTAAATATTAAACTACAGTCAGGAGATTTAGCTTTATCAGATTAAATAAACAAGGCAGAAGGTTACTAAGTGAGTTTCCCACCCGGGGAAACTCCTGAAATAGAAACAAAGTTCACTAAGCAATACAAAAAAATTCAAACCAAATCCAAGCACAGGGTCAATAACCTCTGACAAATTCACTCACCTGTGGCTCTTCCACCATCTCTTCTTTGATTTTCCTCTTCTTTGCCCCAGTTTCAATTCCAACACCATTCTCTACCTGTTTTTTAACTGAGCTGCTCTTCTTTTTGCTTTTCTTCGTTATGTCATCAGTCACTGTAACATGAGTTTCTCTGCTCTGCTTGTTCTTCTTGGTGTCGTCTTTGCCTGTGAATGATAATGGTTCTGCCTCATCTCCCTTTGACTTTGCCTTTTTCCTTTTCTTCTTCTTCGGCTCCATGTCCTCAAAGTCACTGACCTCCACAGAAGCTTTTCCACCCTTCTCTGTTTTGACTTTTCTCTTTACCTCTGTCTGACCATCCTCTATGATAACAATCTCACTCTTTATAGATTTGTCCTTCTCGGTGAACATTTTGTCATTCTCTACATTTTTATCTGACAATGCTTTGCTCCTTTCGTTGTTGCCTTTGATCGCTGGTGTTTCTACTTCATTTCCATCTTCTTTAGTTTTATCTTTTTTCTTTTTCTTCTTTTTCACTTTTACCTCATCAACCTCATGATTCTCCCCCTTTGGCATTTTTAACTTTAGTCCCTTCTTGGCCAGTTCATCTTTTGTATTTGCACTTAATCCATCCATAGCTACCATTTTCTTTTGCTTCTTCTTCTTTTCTTTAACTGGCTTGAGAGTGTCCTCTTTGTTTACAACTAAATTACTGTTCTTTTCTTTCTTGGATTTCTTTGGCACTTTATTCTTTCCAGCTTGCTCTTCCTTCTCCAGCTTTATATTTTCTGGTTTGATTTGTACAGACTTATTTTTCACTTTCTTCTCCTTCTGTTTTGTTTCACATTGTTCTTCTTTTATTAAACTCTGTGACATTTCCACTTGATTCTCATCATCAGCCAGCAGCTTTTTCTTCTTTTTGCTGACTCCTTTGTCATTTCCACCCATGATGTAAGACCCACTGGCATCATCCAGAGATTCATTAACAAGTTTCCTTTTCTTCTTCTCTTCCTTTTCACCACCTCTGTCCAAAGACTCCTCCTTTATAACCAACTTTTTCTCAGCTTTTTTACATTTCTTCTTTTCTCTTTTCACCTCTTCTAGTCTCTCCTCATCATCATCATAGTTTTTGTTTTTAAGCTCAGAGACTTGTGCTTTTTTGTGTTTCTTCTCCTTTTTTATAAGACTCTCCTCACTCTTCTCTTCCTCCATCTTCATTATCACCTTTTTCTGTGGCTTCTCCACAGCAACAAACCTCTGGCTTGTCTGGTGACAGAAATTCAATTATTGCAATATGCAGAGCACAGCGGAAGTTAGAGCACTCCTGTGATATATCACTTCAATTATATCACTTCTCAATAATTGCATTATTTGTAATTTGACAAGCAGAGTATCAGCTCTTATGATCAATCAAACACTTTAGAAAGACAATATTGAACATACAGGCCCCGAAGTATAAACTCAATGCAATAAAAGTGAACATACCTGTGATCACTGAAAAAAGTACACTTGTGTTTTCAATTACCCTAACTGCATGAACATGGTTATAAAATGACCAGTGAATGCAAAAAGATCCTCAATTTTGGACATATGACTATGTCTGTCTGCATGTCTGCATCATAGCCTCACAGGAAAAGAACTGCCAAAGAGATGAAAAGGGATACAGGAAGATCACTGAGCAACTAAAAATCAGAAAAACACAGTTGCAGCAGTAATCAGGAGGTACAGAACAAGTCATAGCACCACTAACCAGAGCCACAGTGGCCGTCCTCCTAAAAATGACGCCATGGACGGTGTGTTATGTGTACAATCTAGTTCTGGGAAACAGATGTGCAAGCGCTTCAGATGTAGCACAGGGTTATCAATGGAAATCTTGAGTATCTGTGACAGCTCAGATGTTGTGAAGCACATTGCATAACATCAGCCTTTATGGATGCAGCCCAAGAAAAAAAACAACCTTTGCTTGCTTTTCGACACTAAACTGCAAGAGTAAACATCACTAAAGAGCATGAAAAGAAGCCTGATAAATATTTGGAGCACATTCTTTGGCCAAGTGAAACCAAGATAAATGTGCTGGGCTCAGATAGAGTCTAGCAGGTTTGACCTGAACCTGGCTAGGACTACTGCCATGAATGCACAGTCCTGACAGTGAAGCACTGAGGTGAGAGTGTGAAGATATGGGGTTGCATGGGGGCAAAAGGTGTTGTGGAGATGACATTTATAGATGGTACCATGATTGCATGTGGATATATCATAATACTGGGTGACAGATATTATTGTTTATAGCTTTTTATGTGTTGTTTTTATTTGTATGATATGTTAAGTGCTTTGGTCAGCTGTGCTGTGGTAAAGCGCTATATAAATAAAGTTGAGTTGAGAGTTGAGAGAGAGAGATCACTCCCAGTCTCTAGAGGCTTGGTAACGGGGGAATATTCCAGCATAATAATTATCCAAAGCACACTGCCAAAGCAAGGCAAAAGTTTATAAAGAAGAAGAAACTGAAAGATATGACCTGGTGAAGTATGTTGCCTGGCTTAAATCCAATAAAACACCTTTGGGGTATTTTAAGAAAGAAAGGTCAAGCAACACAACCCCTGCAGCAAAGAGCAAAGAGAACAAATTGTCCCTGAAGAATGGCAGAACTTCTCTCCAGAAATCTGCATAACACTGCTATCCTCCATGCTGAGGAGGACTGAGTCAAAAATAAAGGTAGGAAGTATTGAAAAAGTAAATAAATAAATAACAAAAATTGAATTTCAGCAGTAAAAGGTGTATTGATTTGTGGTGCATTGAAGTCCTAGTGTGGGGTCTGTGTTTTTAATACAGTAAATCTAAACTGTTAGATTTTAATTTTACAAGCGCAAATACCCTACTGTTCAACATAGAAGTAATGCAATTACTGTAAGGTGATACAATTTTGAATCATTTGACATTTAAGTGATATTGCACAGTGGTGTACTCAATTCTGATATGTACTATAATTTATTTCTCTGAGAGTATATATAATAAAATATTAATACATTTACAAAAGACTCCAAAAACCTTTTTTAACTGTATCACTGTGGAGTATTGTGTGTAGATTGATGAGGAAAAATAAACAGAATTTTAAGATAAGTCTGAAACATAACAAAATATTGAAAACATTCCGTACTAACTGTACTGTACATGTGTGAGTGTGACAAACAGTACACTAACCAAGGGTTTGGCTGGCAGCCTGGGCAGGGACTCCCAATCAATGTCTCGTTGCAGGGCCAGTAGCTTCCCCTAGAGGCAAAAGAGCAGAACTGAGCCAAATGTATACAGAATAAAAATGTATCAAAACAATGAGTACATTGAAAACAGGTACTCTTATCAATCATACATTTACACACCTCTTAAATAGTACATGTATACACGTGTCAGCCAATTTAAACTCTATACATGGTGCAGGTTCTTTGGACTATATCTTAAGTTGTTATTCTTTATTATTCACATATATTTAGTTTTATGTAAAGTACATGCATTTCTGTGATTCTTGTGGTAGTGTGTTATGTTCAGCACGCAATCATGCAGTACAACCTGTGATGAGTTTGTACCACAACTAGGGATTCAATCTTGGATTATTCTGTTGCCTTGTAGTGGTTTGTTTTGCACAAATTACTCTGATTCATAAAGACATTTCGAGTCTTGCTAAGACATTAGATATTATGTCAGGATCCATACTTTAACAGGATTTTATGTAACAAATTCCGTGTGATGACACTTAAAAATACTTTTCAGGCGGAACGAGTTGACAAAGTTCATTCTTAGCACTCTTTAGTAAATCGTACTAGCTAGCTAACAGCAGACAAATAGCAGCTGTATGGTTAAACTGGAGAAAACCAAAACCAAAATCAAAATCTTATAGGTAAGACAGAGGGAGACTAGTTTATCGCTGTTTTACAGTGTATAATAAGTGATAACACGATTAGATGTTTACCCACCTTATAAACTTTGATATTTCACGTGGATACCCGTTTTCTTTTTTTTGACCGGGAAGTAGTTTTGCTCCTTCCCGTTAGCAACGACTCAGGCGTCCCTAGCAACGAGGCGCTCCTATCATGTGAACAGATTTCGGGGCGGTTCTTCCTGAAGTCCACTGTCATCTCCACTGTTTTGAGCGTGTTCAGCTCCAGGTTGTTCCGGCTACACCACAGGATCAGCTGCTCAACCTCCCGTCTGTAGGCTGACTCGTCGCCGTCTCGGATGAGACCAATGACCGATGAGTGGTGTCCACCCACAGCCTCAGTCTCCGCCTGCTACATCTAGCTTTAATAAAGTTCTAGTCTCGACCTTGGCTCTCATAAAACATTTATTGCTCTCACATCGCACGTGATGAAGGTGCTGGAGAGGCTGGTGTTGGTCCATCTTGAGTCGCAGGTGAGATCGTCTCTTGATCCTCTGCAGTTTGCCCACCGGTCACATTTGGGGGTTGATGACGCTGTTCTTTACCTGCTGCAGCGAGTTTTGTCACATCTGGATGGTGACGGGGGCACAGTGAGAGTCACTTTTTTTTATTTTTATTTCTCCAGTGCCTTTAACACCATCCAGCCTCCACTATTGGGAGAGAAGCTGCGGCAGATGGGTGTGGGTGGGTCGACTGTTTCTTGGGTCACTGACTACCTAACAGACAGGCCGCAGTTTGTACGGTTGGGTCAAGTTCTGTCTGATGTGGTGGTGAGTGGTGTGGGGGCTCCACAGGGTACTGTGCTCTCCCCTTTCTTGTTCACCCTGTACACCTCAGATTTTCAGTATAGCTCGGAGTCATGTCATTTACAGAAGTATTCCGATGACTCTGTGGTGGTGGGGTGTTTAAGGGGTGGGCAGGAGGGGGAATACAGGAGGCTGGTGGATGAGTTTGTGGAGTGGTCTGGACAGAATCATTTGCTGCTTAACCTGGACAAGACCAAAGAGATGGTAATTGACTTCAGGAGGAAGGGAACTGCTCCACAGCCCCTCTCCATTTTGGGGAGGGATGTGGAGATGGTGCAGGAGTACAAATACTTGGGTGTGACTATCGACAACTGTCTGAACTGGAAGACAAACAGCACATCTGTGTATAAGAAGGCCCGCAGCACACTCTATTTTTTGAGGAAGCTGAGGTCCTTCAATGTGTGCAATAAGATGCTGGAAATGTTCTATCGGTCTGTCGTTGCTAGTGCCTTGTACTCCTCAGTGGTTTGCTGGGGGAGTAGTATTGCAGCCAGGGACTCCGATAGATTTAACAGGCTAATTA